CAGAACAGAGGGGTAGAGCACTCTTCTCTCTTAAACCCGGGACAGACGATCCAGCCTCTGTTCCGGATCCTGTCGTGAGAGACAGTCCCAGCTACAAAGTTACGGCCAGCAGCCCCTCCAGGGCTCAGCCTCTCTTCTGTTACCTTGTCCTGCTTTAACTTGGAGCACTTGAATTTGTCTCTCTAGGTGCTTCGTGGAAGGGCCACCCTGGCTACAGTGTCGCTGCTTGGGAGGAGTGAACTGTTAACACCTGTTTTGGGAGCTTCTGCGGCTGAGGGCTTCGAAGGCCTTGGAAAACTGAATGAAGGTAGTGCGGTTTGTCCGTGCTCCTTAATGGAGTATGGTGTCAGGTGTTTACAGAGTTACGAGTGTGCACGTGTTTTTCCTCTTTATCTTTGTAGAATGGGAAATGACCTTTTCATATCACGAATTTATTCCAGTAGTTGGGGAAAGATAAAATAAGGCATCCTCAAAATAAACTGCCTTTAAAGATTTTACAATTCATTTACAAGTTTTGAGATCTATGATGGCCACTTATGTGCTACTTTTGAAATAAGGAACTGTTGTGAGAAATAAAGGAGTTAAGTTTCCACATAAGTAGATAGATAGAAATCAGCAAGAAATCCCTTATAAGAAATCACAAACAGCGACCCCAGATGAATCGGTTAGAAAGGCCGGGGTTAAATCCAGGTCAGCAGCCTTTTGCTACTGTGCAAGCATAGTTAGGTTCCACGCACACAATGTATAGTAAGGGGTGGGGATCACGTGTTAAGATTGTAACCCGGAAGAATTAGAGCCAATCCTGATGCGGAAGGGAGGAGGTGGGCAATTACTAAGTAGAAAGCTTGTTCTTGCTTCTGTGCCAGCACGCACTCTCCCCTTCGAACGAGGTGTGCCTATTTCTCTAGAGAATCCAAAGGATGCACTTCAACCTCTTTAATAAAAAAGTCTTTGAGACGCCAGTCTTCGGAACGTCATCTTTATAACACTGTGGTTAAAAAAAAAGTTTGGGCTTTTTAATTGCTGATGGGGGGGGGGTTGTGAACCCTAATCCTGTTTGGTAATGTTTTTTTTCCTAGCTTTTCTTTCTTTTTTTATTAATTTATTTTTGGTTATCAACAATCACTTCCATAAGCTTTTGAGGTAATGTTTTAAGACTTAGTGCTATAAGGGACTAACGAAAGGATGTACTGATTTACTAAATCCGCAGATTTAAAATGTAGATTCTTTCCTGTTACCATCAAACTGGATTTGTTGTAGCCTGAAAATAAAGTATCTTGCTGGGTGGAATCCTAATTTAAGAGGTAAAAGCATATTTATTGACAAGTATGAGAGCATCATTTTGATGTAGGTTTTCTTCTCCCAGAATACTTGTATTGTTTTAGAATCCATAGACCCAATAACATCTTGGGCCATTTGGAATACAGAATTCATTCCCTCATGTTTAAAAGTCACTCTCAGGACCCCATGAAATGTTACAATACTAGATTTTAGGCAGTTATCCAAGTATTTACATAGGCAATCATAATAATTAACAATCAAAATGGGGCCATATTTGTGACTTTTGTCCTGGCATCCTTTCTAGCACATTTCATTTCAAGTGCAATTCAGTTTGGTGATCCAAGTTCAACTTTAAACTTTGGAGGTAGGAAATATAAACTGCTGAAGCTACGATTATCTGCTGCTAATTGTCTTCTCCAAAGATTGAGAAGTAATCTCCTGATTTCTCCAAGACTTATAACAATGAGGCTTGGAGGTTAGTGTGTTCACTGGAGGTATTGATGGCCTTCCTGCTTTCCATCAAGTCCCAGCTAAAATCCCACCTTACAAGAAGCATTTCCTGATCCTCTTTATCATTAGCTCTTCTCTTTGTTGATTATCTCCTGTATAGACTTTGTTTATAGTTTGAATGTTGTCATTAGACTGAGCTCCTCAAGAACAAGAATTGTTTTGTTAGGTTTTGTTTGTTTTTAGCTTTTCTGTGTATCCCTATGCTTATAGCACAGTGCCGATCAAACTGTAGGTGCTTAATAAATGCTTGCTTGTTATGGACTCATTGGCGTTAGCCTGAAAAGTTAAAAAGTTAGATTTGATGAGTTCAAATTCTAACCCCCAGTCTTTCCCTCCTCCCTCTCTTCCATTTCTGAATGCATGATATTGGTTTAAGACAGGGATGGGGAACCTTTGGCCTCGAGGCCACTTGAGGACCTAGAGAGCCACGTGTGGCCTTGAGGCCAAAGGTTCCCCACCCCTCATCTAACACTATGGCCTGGCCTATTTTAAGAAGGGTTTTTACATTTAAAAATGTAAAATATCATTCCGACTTGACCCTCAGGCTTTAGTTTGCCAATTGTCTCTCCAAAATTTAAGAAATTTAATAGCTCCTGAATTGGAAGATGCTACATAATTTCCCAGATACAATATAGCTTGCCTTCCTCCTATTAAATTCTAGGCTAAACCTCATTACCCATCTCCAGGGTCTGTCCAGGACACATGATCTAATGGGCTGCCCCATCTAAATATCTAATAATCAGTCATCTTTGTCCACTTGGTTTTTCCACTGAAAGTTGCTAGGCCATTCTGTTTTGAAATTGAAATATTACAGATCTCATTGAAGAGGCCTTGAAGTATTCTGATGCCATGGAACACAATGGTATCTATGAAGCAGAGCATCTCAAGATTCTTACCACATATTTGGAGTCCTTCCTTCATCTATTTGGGCTTTTCAGAATATCTACCATGGTACTGAATACCTTTGGTGAACAGATCTCCCTGTTTCATCCCTTGCTTGATATTGATAACCAGAAGATCATTAAACAGCTCTCTGATTATGTCTATTAAGGAATCTTGTATTAATAATAGCATTCACTGCAGTTTAATCTGACAAAATAATGGAAGAAAAAGATCAGAAAAGAAAACAGAAGCAAAAGACATTCTTTTTTTAAAGTTATTTTATTTTATTTTTTAAATTGTTTATAGTTTGCAATATTTTAAACTATATTCTTTCCTCTCACCAAAAAATGAATGTAAATCAGTGATTTTGTATCTTTGCATGCTTTATGTAGGGGAAGTTTTACCATTGTGGTTACTTGCTATATTTCCATCATAAATTTTATAAACATCCATTCATTTGTGTTAATGATGCTTTTTTTTTTAGGGGGCAGCTAGGTGGTACTGTGGATAGAGCACCAGCCCTGGAGTCAGGAGGACATGAGTTCAAATGTGACCTCAGACACTTGACACTTACTAGCTGTGGGACCTTGGACAAGTCATTTAACCCCTTTGCCAAGCAAAAAAAAAAAAAGGAAAAAAATGCTTTTTAAAAAGTAAAGTTATAATTATTCATGTATGCTTATATGGAATTTTGAGGGATTATTTTTTTATATGCTTTAAAAACTTAAGGCATTCTTCATTTCCCATTCTATAATTGTGCCCTTTTATTCCATTGGCCTTCCCTTTACCAGGCAGCACATATACTGTGATGTGCTTTGTTAGAGTGGAATTGGACAGAACATACCTTTTCAGCTGTTACAATTCTTTATTAAACCATGAAAAAGGCAATATAGATGTATATACAAACACATGTGTATATATAAATATACACACATATGTACACATATACCATGGAAAAGATACATAAATATATATGCTATTTATATAATACTATAGAAAAAGATATATAAACCATGGAAAAGACATTAGCTATAATGAAAACTCTTCACTAGAGTAATTAGACTTGTATTGGAATCCATTATAACAACGAGCAACTTTGGTTCTGAATGCTACTACAATAGTTGAAATATCAATCATTGTATGTTCCATAAGGTTTTTGTAATGTGAAAAATTTCAGTGCTCAAAATTATATTCCCCCTTTAAGTATTTCAATCATAATGACAACAATAGGAATCTGTGGTACAGACTGGAAAGAACATAGATTGGATTCCAACCCTAGGTCTACCTGTTACTTCACTTTCCTCATCTCTTAACTGAGTGTAACATTTTCACTATCTATTTTGAGAGGATCATATTGAGTACTATACAAATATATGCTCTAATAAAACAGGACCAGAGTTCAAAATTCCCTTAAAATGGGATCAGTCTGCTTTTTGTCTCAGCCAATCATTCTATGGTCTTTGTCCCATAAACTTCCTTTGTCCAGTGGCTAATACCCTATAATCTCAACAGGTTGTTTGAAAAACTTCATTCAATTTAATCATCAACTAACAAATGACCCATACTCCTCAGGAGAGGTGTTAAACATGCTCAGACAGCCTGGACCAGATTGAAATGTAATCGAGAAATATTTAACAAAAAATAAAACATAGCTAATATGGACTTTTCTAAATATGTGGTCCACAGGGATCCTTATATACGGTTTAGTGGTCTGTTTCTATTTGACACCACTGCTGTACATCATTATCAGGTGGTTTTAGAAAATATCCCTATTTGATTGAACACTGTTAAGATCCACCTCCTTTACACTAAAGTTTAAAATAATCTTAAACCGCAGTTAGCTGAAATTTTAGGTGGCCTATCAAGCTAAATTGATGGCTCTTTCATGTCTTTGCAGCTTTCCCAATCTCAAGTGAAATCAAGTTCTCCCTTTTTGAAATTTTTGTAGCACTTTGGCCTGCAATGTATCACATTTATTCATAAACACATATTTTATTTATCTCCTATTAGATTCTAAGTTCCTTCATGTCAGAGAGCAGATTGTTTTTTATTCTTTGAATTCACAGCACCAGCACAGTATCTTAAACATAGCAAATACTTCTTTATTGTTGAGTTGTAGAAATTGATATGGTTGGATTCTTGAAATTTTTTTTATTTACCTAAAATGATTGAAATAATAACAAAAACCCAATATTTGTCAGTCATGTAAAAAGAATCAGCATGGGTTATCTAAATGTAGCTTTTAAATGACTTAAACTTTTATCAGAGGGATTTAAGTAGATTAGCTTCTCCTTTAATATAAATGTAATGAGGCCACTTTCTCTGTTCTATCTCAGAAAAAGAACACAAACTGCTTGAAATTCTGTTTTCTGGCTCAGTCACCAACTTGGCTACTCTACCTCGAGCCAGGGAGA